AAGAAATATAAACATTCTTCTAGATACACTATGAACAACTGAATGTACGATAAAGAAATGAGGATCCACAAACTAAACAAGAAATATAAACATCCTTCTAGATACACTATGAACAACTGTATGTACATTAAAGAAATGAGGGTCCACGAACTAAACAAGAAATATAAACATTCTTCTAGATACACTATGAACAACTGAATGTACGATAAAGAAATGAGGATCCATGAACTAAACAAGAAATATAAACATCCTTCTAGATACACTATGAACAACTGAATGTACATTAAAGAAATGAGGATCCACGAACTAAACAAGAAATATAAACATCCTTCTAGATACACTATGAACAACTGAATGTACATTAAAGAAATGAGGATCCACAAACTAAACAAGAAATATAAACATCCTTCTAGAGACACTATAAACAACTGAATGTACATTAAAGAAATGAGGATCCATGAAATAAACAAGAAATATAAACATCCTTCTAGATATACTATAAACTGAATGTACATTAAAGAAATGAGGATCCACGAACTAAACAAGAAATATAAACATCCTTCTAGATACACTATGTAGAATTGATTCTACGAACCTTTGATCTGCTTTAGCTTGTTCTGCTTCATTCTCAAAGATAAGCTCAACTATCCTTTCTTGGAAACGATTAACTTCATTGGACAGCTTTGTTATTTGATCTTCTGCATTATTTTTCTGCTCAGTGAGCTCCTGAATTAATCTGTCAGATATTTTTGTCTTTTCTTGTAGCCTATCTAGTTCTTCTATAGTTCTCCGATTTTCTAGTTTACAAGATTCTGTTTCTTGTACAAGAATTTCTAGCTTGTTGTTGAGTGTCTCAATTTCAGCATTTTTTGCTGAAAGGTTTTCTTCTTTTTCATTTAATATATTGTCTTGGCTCTTAAACTTCTCTTCATAACAAGTTAGCTGACTCTGAAGGTTTGATTTTTCAGTTTCTATACAAGACAGCTTTGAATTTTTTATTGCTATCAAGTCATTCAGTTTCTCCAGTTCTAGTTGAAGGTTATGAAATTGTTCGTTAATCATTTTTAATGCTTTTTCTACTGCTATTTTATCTGTTTCTAGTTTTGATATTTCATTACTTTTCTGAGCTAAAATTTCTTTATTTTGAAGTTTTACCTCACAAATTTCTTTTTCTGCATGCTGCAAGTTTTCTTGCAAACAATTTTTTTCAGATTCCACCACAGAAACAGAAATGTTGTTTTGATGAAGTGAATTAACTAGTTCCTTATTTTCTTTTTCTAACTTCTCAAGTTTTCCTTCTAAAATCTTGTTTTCACTTATCAACAGGGAAATGGATGAATCCTTTTCTTGTAAAGATATATAAGCATTATTTTTTTCAATTTCTAAACTTGTTAGTTGACTACTAAGTTGCTCTTTTTCATCACATATACTCAAAATTTTGGAATTTAAGTTCTGGATACTTTCATCTTTACCATCAATTAAATACTTTTGGTTCTTTTGCTCTTCTTTAACGCATTCTAACTGTCTCTGCAGTCTCAGTTTTGTTTCTTGCTCCTGTAATAGTTCCACATTTAAATTTTTGATACTTATTTCTTTGTCTTCCAAACACAATAAAACATCATTCATTTTGTTTTCAGTACTTTTCGTCTGTTCTGTCAAACATTTTGTTTCATTTTGCAAACGAGAAATTTCTAAATCTCTTTCTGCAATCATAATAACATTTTCCTCTAACATAGTTTGCAAGTGTTTTGTTTCTGTTTCAACTGCTTCAAGCTGTTTCTCCAGATCAGACTTTTCTTTTTTCAGCTCTATCATTTCGCTAGTTTTTTGATTAAGATAATCATCTTTCTCTTGAGCAGTTGTCTCAAGGATAACCACAGTTTCTTGAATTTCTTTTAACTGACTTTCAAGAATACATCTTTCAGTTTTTAAATTTTTAATCTGACATTTTTCATCATCAGACTTCCTACACAATTCCTCAAGAGTTCTGACACTGGATTCTAATTCAGAGAGTTTACTTTTAGCAGCTACTAAACACGTGTCTTTCTCATCCAACAAAGCCTCAAGAGTTCTGACACTGGATTCTAAATCAGAGAATTTACTTTTGGAAGCTTCTAAATGTAATCCAGTGTCAGAACTCTTGAGGCTTTGTTGGATGAGAAAGACACCCAATTCAGAGAGTTTACTTTTGGAAGCTTCTAAACACGTGTCTTTCTCATCCAACAAAGCCTCAAGAGTTCTGACACTGGATTCAAATTCAGAGAGTTTACTTCTGGAAGCTTCTAAACGTGTGTCTTTCTCATCCAACAACAGTTTAAGTTGATTAATTTCATGCTCAGAGTTTTCCTGAACATTTAAAACTTTTCTATTTTCAAGATCTTTTACCACTGTTTCCTGAGAACTTTTGTTACTTTCTTCAATTAAAGATCGATATGTGCTCAACTGGTTAGTGACTTCGGTCAGTTCCTGTTTTAAACTTGAATTTTCAGCTTTTACAGCACATACTTCAGAATTTTTAAGATCTAAGTATTTCACAATAGACAAATGAAGTTTTCTCATTCCTTTTTCCAGGCTCAACATTTTCTGTACTGGATTTATCATTAACTTCTGAATTTCTGGCACTTCTAAACCTTCTTTAGTTGGAACATTTTTGCACTTTTCACTTCTTTCTATCTCTAAAACTTCTTCACTTGATAACTTCTGGATCACTTCTTCCCAAAACTTCTTAGTTTTGTATGGTTCAATGTTCAAAACCTTTGAAGTTGAATTTTCTAATTCATTTGTGCTATAAATACCAACATTTTCAACAAACGAATAATGATTAGTATGAGTTACCAATTCATTCAGTTCTTGAATATCAGATTCTAATATGCCCAGCTTTTCAGCACACCCTTCTACTCCTGTTAGCAGGGTAGCTTTTAGTTTTAAAAAATCTGTGATCAGTAACTCCTTTTCACTTAACTCATTTCTCAGATCAGTCACTTCTGTCTCCATCTCTTGGACTTTCTGATCCGTTTCTTCCAATTTTCCCTGATAGTCAGAAACCAGCAGGCCTTTCTCAGTTACTTCACGTCCTCTGATGCTGAGTTCTGTTTCCAACTCTAATACTTTGGTCTTATAACTGTCCAACTCTAGTAAGTAGTCATTCTTCTCCTTTTCCAAGGAACTGATTGATTCAAGTAACTTTTGCTCGACTTGTGAGCCTTCGTTGGGTTCACTGTAGAAACGATCCTAAGAAATGGAAAAGAAAATGTAGGTTAAGAATGACAAAGAATCACAAATGACTCGTATCTTTGTTAAATATTAGTTCCGATCCCTGCAGGTAGCTTGCTTTTATCAGATGTTACTGATATGTTTCTTTACTGATGTGGGAAGATGTTAGTGGACACCAGTAATCAGTTTAGTAATGCTAACCCAGAGTCTGATAATGCTAATACTGGGTTAAGTTTTAGTTCCGATTCCTGCAAGTAGCTTGCTTTGATCAGATGTTACTGATAGATTTTTTTACTGATGTGGGAAGATGTTAGTGGACACCAGTAATCAGTTTAGTAATGCTAACCCAGAGTCTGATAATGCTAATACTGGGTTAAGTTTTAGTTCCGATCCCTGCAAGTAGCTTGCTTTGATCAGATGTTACTGATAGGTTTCTTTACTGATGTGGGAAGATGTTAGTGGACACCAGTAATCAGTTTAGTAACGCTAACCCAGAATCTGATAATGCTAATACTGGGTTAAGTTTTAGTTCCGATCCCTGCAGGTAGCTTGCTTTGATCAGACGTTACTGATAAGTTAGTTAATTGATGTTTACCGATTACCAAACCCTGATGTTCTGAAAGATTCATATCACTAACATATAATGTTTGGATCACTGTTATGGCTTACTACCAGACATTATAATTTTCATATACTGAAAATGTATTTCCAATAGATACTTACCTCTCTCACATAAATAACTATTCTTGTTCAGTGCTACCTTCTATATGCAAAACTTTTTTCGCATGCCACAAGCCTTGAGCTCCCATGTACCCCACAATCAACATGGTTCAACTGCATCTCACATGCAACAACCCTCCACCAATAGGAATGTGACACACCCTCCCGACACATGTGACTCCCTCTATTTGATTCTATCAAACTTTGAGTTTTTTGCAGAAAATGGAAGCACTGGTTTTCAGTGGGGAGGAATGGTGGGAGGAGGTAAGTACCTATCAGAAATACATTTTCAATATAGGAAAATCATAACTTCCGATACAGTACATTACCTCCTCTCACATAAATAGCTAGAATCCCACATTGAATAGGTGGAAGGACCATTGCGAGGGAAAGAAACAAGCATCCTTGAAAGCATCTGAAGAACACCATAAAAGAGGGGATCCTCGCAGCAGAGGATCATACGTGGAAGACCACACTACTTCTGTACCAGGTATACTCCACGCCCAGTGTGGAAAGAGGTGATGCAGACATGGGTTGAAAAAGGGAGAGAACAATGGTTGGATAGGGATCCGAACCACCTGAAACCTGAATTTCAATCCCATAGATGACAGTAATGTTGATGGGAGTAAAAAGGATGTGGACCAAGATGTAGAGTGGCTAAGGTGCAATGGACCATACACGGCAAGTCAACTGCATCCAAAACCCAGCCATTGGGAACCAACATCCATGTGAGGGTAGGATGAAGGATCCCAATCAAAGGGGTGAACTGCAATTTTGACGGTTTACTCCAAAGCAACAACATCCCCTTGGATACATCCATACAGAGATGGAGCATCAGATTGGAGGACATCTCGTCATCTAAACCAACAGAACACCACCACCCTACTCTCAACTGAATGGACTCATTATTGTTTGTATCATATATCACTATCACATTCAGGAGGATGCCCCCATGGTCCACCACACCAATGTTTTGAAACTGGAAAGTGGTAAGGACTCCTGTACTCCACCGGAATAAAAAGGGGGGAGAAAATGCGGGGGAGGGTCCAGAGGAACTTCATCATTGGAGACAGTGCAACGGGAGATCACGAAAACCCTATTTTGAAAAGCAGACCACTTCTGATTTATTCAATCTAAGGAATGGCAGGGATGGGCAGCTGTCCTCTTATGCTTTACCCAGGAAGACCATGGGTGAGTATGGTCCAGAACGGGCATATGAATGAAGCAAATATATCACAAGGAAAACATACAAGCAATCTTGTGGAACACCCCATCTCAACAGTGTGCATTTAATGGCCATGGAAATTATAAATGTTAAGTCATCCTGGCCTTACAGTGTAGATTTGACTATTTTATGTATACCTGGACAGGCACCACTCACCACAGAGTGGGATCCGTAAAGAAAAAAAGGGACATGCCCCTTAAAAATAAGAGGTATATATACAAAAAGGTAACTTACCCAGTCACAGTCTCACCGAAGAGTGAAGAATAGCTACAGGTGGAAGACGGTACTCTGACAAGGAAGAAACAGCTACCCAAAGCAGATAATAGGAGATAAACATATGAGGTGTAGTCCCAGTGCTCGACAGAAGAAGTACCTCCCACATAAGACAGGGTGAGATGCAGGTAAAAGGGAAGGTGCCTGATCATAGTGAAGACACCAGGAATTGATTACGGGAAAAAGGAGACAAGGAAGAAAAAACTAATCGAATCATTACCTGAATCCAAGGGGTAGGTGAGGAAAAAAACTCACAAACAGAGGAGTGGTGCCTTGAAGGCAATAAGGCAACCCAAAGCATGTATGGGACATAGAAGGCTGGGAATAAAGGGTGGGAGATGGAAGGAAAGAAAAATGAAGGAAAGGAAGAACATGCCAAAGTAGGGGGTAGGAAAAATTGATCCAGAACAAAAAGAACAGACTGAGCTGAAGCAGTCGAGAAAACCAGATCTGTGTCAGCCAGGAAGGAGCAATCAGAAAGACCTGACACAGAGTGGCAAGGAGAAACAAAATCACCCAGGGAAGATGACAATGGGATGAGAAAATAAAGGTATAAACAGGTCCCAATCCTGTCTGAATGTATCGATAGCCATGGCAAGTGGATGAGGAACTGGAGACAAACACATACAGATATGAAAGAAGCTTGAAGGGCAAGGCACGAAACTGGTACCTAACTCTGTGTTGAACAAACCTAAGACAGCATTTCAAGGGATGAAAAATAGGAATGTGATCATAAGAATACAAAACATCGACCTTGGGCATCCTCAGTCCTGGAGAAATGGCCCACCAGAGTGTGATAAAATACAACAAAATAAAAAGGGAAAGAACCAAGAAGTCCAATCTGCATCGATAATACATGACTAATGGAGGAACTCTTAGATGTGGGACAGGGAAATGACATGGAACATGAATAAAGAATGCAATGGCTAAAGAGACAAATGAGCAATCAAAAAACATAAAATTTAATGTAGCAACACAGATACCCCATGTAATGCTAAAATCCCAGTAGTAACACCCCACTGAAAAAAATTGGAACGGTGGGGGAAAGAGGTGCCTGTAAGTCCCAATTAGAAGTGGAAGGGAAACAAACTTGGTTCAGGACAGTGTCTCACCTGGAAGATCCCAAAAGTGAAGAAGCCAGATTTGTAGGGAAAGATCTGAAGATAAGTAGGAGGACGATATCCCACAAAAATCCTCAAGAAATAGGTAGAATCCCTCGAAAATGAGGTGTATGGCAGTCAATACCAGAAGGAGAGGCAATCGGGGAAGGTTAGAAAACTTGGCTAGGGAGAAAAGGATAGGACTAACAGAATCTGCCCCTATACAGGCAACAGAGAATCGAAGTACAGAGAAGCAAGAAAACAAAAAACAATCTGCCCGATGGTAAGCTAAGACGAAATGAACCAGAGCCCGTGGAGGTCAAGGCATGCCAGCATCATCTCTCAACAGAGAGACAAAAAGGTACAGTATGAACCATAATGTATGGAAAAGGAGGGAAAATGAAAAAAAACACAACAACTGTGAAATGTGTATAAAAAAGTAGGCCTAGCAGACTCTGCGGTACAGGCATAGGAAGGCCAAGTCATAATCAGATGTACGAAATAGACATCATCCTGAACAAGTTCGGTAGATTGAGAAGTAAGGCAAGCAGTACTGGGTGAAGGGTGGATGGACCCTGGACCCAGGAGTCCTCAAAAACGAAATTAATTGCAAGAACTATAAAATATAAGTAATTACGAAAAAGTTCTACAAAGGATATCACTAAACGTTAATTAAAAAACCCTAACCTTACAAGAGAGTAGGTACAAATCTAATTAAACATATGTTATTGAAACCAAAGAACTACAAATAATTATATTAATAACAAATATATTCAAAAAGCTATACCAGCTTATTTGTCCAAAATCAGCAGACCATATTCCAAATGTGTGGCCCCCAAACTCGAGGCCCAACAAAAAAAATTATAAAAAAAACATGGGAAGAGAGCACAAAAAATAAAATATTGATGATAGCACTGTCAAACCAAAAGCAATAGTTCAGTAGAATTGAATAAAGGAAGTCACATGCATCAAGAGAGAGTGTTGTCACATGATGATCTGCATGTGAGAAGCAGTTGAACCACATTGATTGAAGAGTAGGTGGGAGCTCAAGGCTTGTGGCATGCAAAAAAATTTTTGCATATAGAGAGAAGCACTGAACGAGAATAGCTATTGATGTGAGCGGAGGTAATGTACCCTATCAGAACTTAAGGTTCTGACAGATTCACATCACTAACGTATACTGTTTGGATCAATGTTACGGCTTACTAACAAATCTTGAACTGACAGATTCACATCACCAACATATATTATGGCTTACTAACAAATCTTGAACTGACAGATTCACATCACCAACATATATATTATGGCTTACTAACAAATCTTGAACTGACAGATTCACATCACCAACATATATTATGGTTTACTAACAAATCTTGAACTGACAGATTCACATCACCATCATATATATTATGGTTTACTAACACTTTCAACATGTGGACCTATCTTCTACAGGTGTAAAGCTTTCATGACCTGGTGGAAGAACAACCCCCACCCACCAGAAATCATGGATCTGCCTATGCTAGTGATAACTTATACTCAACTATCTGTTTTAACAAACATTTTTACGAACATAATGTGTTTATTATTTGGGAAATTATTAGAAGGACCTTTACTTACCCTTGCTAATTTGTTTAGCCTTGGTGTGCTTGAGATACAACTTTTAATTTGAAATGGAGTCTTGAAAGGCTGTTAAAAACAAGGCACACCCACATTATATCACAGATCAGAAGCAACAAACTGTTATAATACAGAGTATAAATTTACAACTAACTTATCTGATGAAAAGTACACATAACCCCTCTGATAATTAGATAAATAACCACAAAAATAATGTTCCAATGTTTGGAATATTTTCCTTAAATCTTTTAACAATTACAGATTCTAAAACCAACAAAAATGGAATACTTTGTCTCTACTAGATTCTACAAGTTATCTCCTCAGTTCTAAAACCAACAAAAATGATATACTTTGTCTCTACTAGATTCTACAAGTTATCTCCTCAGTTCTAAAACCAACAAAAATGGAATACTTTGTCTCT